GGAAGGCCGTCCTTAAATGACCATAGCTGTGTATAGGTCGTTAAACAATCCTAAACCAAACCTCTTATTGTGATTCCTTACATCAATCAAGTGATGATCGTTATATTTGTTATTGATCCCCGATGTCACATGTTTTCGATTTCTGAAATGTTATTTAATTGAAATTCCATTCCTGTAAAAATGAAGAATAAACTCAAAATAATATGTTAACATTTTGATATTGTTCTAATACAGTTGTACAAACAATTCTCCGATACATTTGTATAAATTATAGTCACAATTATGTATACCATACCAAAATCGTAAAACAATGCTTCAAGTTATCATACATACATTGTTCATTCATACACGTACATGTAAATATGTTTCGCTTTCTTCCAATATGGGGATAAAAACATAATTGTAACAAACATCTAAAAAGTTAAGAAAATTGAAGCATTTTCCAATTGAGAAATTTTAAAAGTTAAGACTTGTTACAAGAAGAATCCAGAAACAGACCACAGTTTGTTTCGACTTATTTAAATCTTCATACAAAAATGCTGCATATATACAATAAAATATCCTTTCATATCAAATGCAAAAGCGTCCAACACACACATCGACCCCTATCACTTACCTATCCTTCTATAGGAACATATATGATATATATCATTTTTCGCGATAATGCGGCAAATCACTGTCGGTTCAGCGCGCGTCATCGTCAACTTTCAGAAATAGAAATGTAATATATTTAATACAAATAAATATATTGTAGGTACACAGATTCCAATGTGTGTGGTTGTAAATCCATAGATGTACGTCAGATATATGGACTCATTTTGCTTCCGTAGCTTAATAACTATCACATGACGTCAGTGCTTGTATTACATAAATGATTGCCTTTCAGTATGGAGGCGACAGTACTCTCTCTACAGGACGTTTTGAGGACCGAATTGTTCATTTTTTTTACATAATTTACCAGTCTAATCATTTGTTTGTCATTTAGTTTCTCTCATAAACCGCAAATTAACGTTTTGATATCCTCCAACGTAAGGTTATATCACAATAGAGACCATATGACTCTACCGATGTAACCTTACACAAAACCTTCCGTGCAATATAGCATGAATAAGTTATATCGAAACTTGCCCTCCCATGCTTGCTCGACTTGCTTTAATGAATTGCAGGTTTTCCCTAATATAGTAAAGGTAAACTCTCCTATTTCAGTGTCATTTGCATTTACAGTTCCTTACAATCATTGAGTTTGCACTTACTGAACCCATGCTCCACGTGGTCACTTAAACTTAGATGACCTTTGACCTAATCACCTTCATCGTCACACTCAGTAGACACACACATCACACAAACCGAGGCTTGCCTCTGTGATTTCGATCAGTGTCTGAAAATGTGCATTTGATACGCGCAGTATATAGTTGTATAAATAGTGGCTAGTTCGTTAGACTGTTTATTTATTTCTACGCGTATATTTGCTGACATGGTCGACTTGTATACACCACTTAGGTGGTGTTTCTTTCACCAGGATCACAGACTCATCTTTCACCATTTCTTTCTAAATGGCAGCCACCATTTCATATGTATTGTCCATCAATCCACATTGAGTTCCTCAGAAACAAACCGATACTATGATACTCCCATCTGGTCTCGACACACATCGTAAATTTATGAACATATCAGATGCGTTGTTTTTGATTAACCACAAAAACTATAAAATAAATTTCAAGATGGTGGCATGTCACAAACAGAATTTCTTTGTGTGTCGTCCATTTCGGTCTGTGATACACTAGTGGATGTTATATTAGGGGCCATTATTGGCTTCAGTTGTCCGTCCACTTTGTCTTTCACTAACTTTGTACCTTTTACACGTTTCCATTTCATCCGCCTGTTTTGGAACCACACTTTTACCTGAAAAAACCCCAAAGAAAACATCTCAGAATACAAACACACAGTATATATTTTTATTTATATAGTTCTGTTACTTGAGTTAGAATCCAGCAGGAAAAGAAGGTGACATTATTCAAAAAGATAGTATGGAATCGAAGGATATTTTGTTTAATTTGAGACTGAAAGCAATATTACTGTTCCCAACCTGTAGCAGCCGCTTACCCATTGTTATGCGTATTGCAGTTCATAAATGTAAAGGAAAGACTTGATCTGACCTTTAGCGGTTGTGCTTTCTTTAACATGATATAATCGAATTACTATTGTGCTGCCTTCCTAGGCATATCTGTTTGATATCGTGTTGATAACATAACGCAGTATTTCATTTGAGAGGACGTTTCTGTTTGTTAAACAGTATGATGATCTATAACAATAATTACCTTATATATTTAATTTATTATATGAAGATTTTACAAAACAGTTAAACGTGTGACAGGGTGTAATAATTTACCAATCCTAAAGGACTCTCTCGATATAAGGGGCTGAATGTTGAAGAATGTATCTTCAGTTCAATCAGCTAAAGGTGATTTGATTGATACAGTTTGTACTTCTTTTAATAAAATCGTTTTACTGTTTGGTTTTTGTAGAGCAATACCGTCAATATGGAAGAAATTGTCGATGCGTTTTATTTTACACGATATCGATATCCCATGTTGTATTTCAGAGGTCAAATGAAAGTATTAATAAGGCTGTCTTAACAGAAGTGTAATGTGCAGATTAAGCTTCAGTTGTTAAGTTTCACATCATTCAATCAAAATTAATCATGTGGCACCTGTTTAGAAAATACCATTATATTACTGTTAAAATATGCCTAAATCTTATATGAAACAGAATGAGAATATTTTAATGACAAAATCTAATTAATTAAAATAAATATTTAGATACATTATGGAATTATGTCACACGATATCACGAGAAATTAGATCCCGGCATACTGGATGAGGTCTTTCAAGACAACTTTAGATATTCCCCTTAATTATAAATTTGTAAAACAAGAGAAGTTCAAACTGTTTTCTATTCGTGATAACCAGAACATGTACATGAATTATTGAGCAAAAGTCAGAATTTGAAGTTCGATCTTAAACCCCCCTAAAGCTGTTGAAGATGGATTGCTATACGGGGCATATTGACATTATGGCATGTTCTCCGTTGCTTCCATTGCCATTAAGAGCGCGTGTATTTGATTAGTCAAATATTATTGGATAATCAAAGATCCATTAATATTGGCTATTTACTTACCCTGTTTAAAAAAGCATAGACTCGTTTGTGTTTGACCAACCATTTATGGTCTCTAGACATTCGATAACTGATTATATCATAACGTGTTCACTGCATTGAGAATCATTTGGGGACTTATCAATTGCGCAACAAAACAAATATTATTTTATCAACTTCAAGTCGAAATTTACGTCAAACCAGACGATGAGTTTGCTGTCACTCGAGTCATTTAATTGTTAACTCAAATTCATGCCTTCAAACAAATTCTTACTGATGATCTCTCGAAAATTAGCGGCCCACCACTTGCCGATTCTAAATCAATGACTTCGAGACATTCTTGTAAGATTTGCAATAAGATCGCGAGAATTAGACCTTTGGGTTGGTTGCCTTTTCTTTAATTGACGTAACATTGTAACGTAAAGTATTGGAATTCAGATAAAGAGCTCGTTTAGTTGCTACGTTACCTGTCTCTCCGTAAGGTCCAGGGCCACGGCGATCTCGTAGCGCCGTAACCGCGTCAGATAATTGTGGACACAGAACTCCTTCTCTAATTCCCGGATCTGATGTTTTGTGAACGCCGTCCTCTCCTTTCTGGGCTTTACCGATAAATCTAGCTTATAAGGGTCGCTGTTGTCTGTAAAGAATGAAATTACATATTTAATTTAATTTCAATTTCAACGTTGTAGTCCGAA